CTACAAAAAAAAATTCTTATAAAATATATCTATAACATATTATATTAAAATAAGTGAGATTTGTAATATCAAATGAATTTCTAAGTCTTAATATGAGATTTTGAAATTAATTTCTTCAATTTATCATGAAGCTAACTAATGGAATATAAAATTAAAATTTTTCATTTTTTATTAATAAAATATTCTCATTACAATTGATGTTATTGATATAATTATATTAATTAAATGCTAATAATATTGAAATTAAGATACTAACGTCAGGATCACAATTAATCATATCTTGCGCGAGAGGCGAATCTATCGGACCAGTATAAACGTGTTGTACTTTAGTGGGTGCATGTGCTTGCGGGCTAGGTACATGAGTGACACACATGTCCACTAATCCGCACATATCGCCTAAGAATCGTGTACAGACAAGTCTCAATAACGGTCGAATATTCATCTTCATTTCCTCGGATGTTAATCGTATACCGAGTTCGTCCAGAACTACACATAAAATAAGTATATACACACACACACACACACACACATATATATATATATATATATATATATATATATAAAATAATTATCCTTCAAATCACTATAAGGATTATGAAAAATAAAAAAAGAGAAATTTACCATCAGGTAATGTTGTGTCTACATCACCGACGACTTGCGCGAATATCTTATACAGAGGTTCCAGGATAAACTCAATGAAACTTCGCTGTGCAGTATTATGAGGTGGTTTCTTGGTAAACTTCCGTGTCTTAGGATTAAAATAAATATCACCCCAGAGCCGTTTGGCAAATTCGTTGGCATTGAGTCCAGGATAGTTCCTAGCATAGAGTGCAGCAAACGATTTCAAAGTAAAGCATACATTATATTCAGAACTAGCAAAACAAACATTTCCTACAGCAGGTGACACAAAGCCAGGATTCTCAGTATCCGAAGAGTATAGTGCTATTAATCCGTTGATCTCTTCAATAATATGCCGCAGTTTGTAATAAGCATCCAAGGGTGGTAGTTTTAATTCCATCATCAAACGATCTATCTTGTTTATACAAACTGTCAAAGCAAGCTTTTCTTGAATTGCATGCTTCAGCAGGCGTTCAGTGTTCAGCATCACTCCCTCTGCAGCGTCAACGATTAATATTGCACCATCAGATAATCTGATTGCAGCTGTTGCTTCATCAGAAAAATTCACATGGCCGGATGTATCAAATATATTTAAAAGATATGATTTAGATTTAACATCTTGTAGCAAGAGAGTGACAGGAGTAGCTTTTGTGGAGACACCTCTTTGTTGCTCGGTAAATAATGTATCCGTATATCTAATAGCATATATAAATAAAAATTATATATTTTTTTAAATAATTGGTTTAACAAATAAAGTGCTTTATAACAATACCTCAGTGGTTTCTCATCGGTTATATTATGTAAATAAGGATGCGTTTGTTGTACCAAACAATCAACCAAAGTAGTTTTGCCATGATGAAGATGTCCCAGCAAAACTACATTTCTAATAAGATGTGGTGCATCCATCATATCTGCTAAAAATTCAATGCTATATGTGGTTTCAGGCAGCTGTTGTTGTTTTATTTGAAATTTTGCTTTTCTAGTAGGTGCTATTAGTGGTTTATCTAGTGGTTGGGCATCTTCCTCTTGTACAAGCGTTTCTACCTAAAAATATTTGTATGAAAAAAATATATCTAATGTTTGAAATTATTTATATAAATAAAAACCTAATACACATATATACACAAGTATCCTAAAAAACAATAAAACAATAGAAATATATGT